TGTTTTGGACTACAACTCCCATCAACCCCAGCCAGCACAGCCATTCTGAGTAAGGCTGATGGGAATCATAGTCCAAAACATCTGAAGATGGGTGAGGGCTAGCTTAGTCACTGTCAAAAAGTGCAGTCCCTTGAGAACAACTCTTGCAAAGTCTCCATTAATATGAATTAGAATTGCTCAAGATTTGCACAGGAGTTGGTCCTACTGAACCGTTTCCTAAGCTATATTAGCTTGGAAGCCTTTGGCTTCTTTTCCAACTATGTGTGGCAGAGTGATTGAATCAAATTCCCAGCATAGCTTCAAAGTAGTTCCAGTTTCTGTAGCAAGGCTGGTATCCCTAGACATTCTGTTTATTTTTGTCTATTCAACACCTCAGGACCCTTTCCCCTGCAAAGTCCCCTTCGTCATCTACTGGCTCCATTGCCTCCAGCAGAAAATACCCATACCCGATGCCTCCACTTCCTGATGAGGAGAAAAAGGCCAACAGAGCAAGTGCCAGGGTAAGCCTCACTTCTTCCTTGGATCTGCTGCGTACTTGACATTTAAGCTAGATGCAGACAAACACCATTTTGTCTTTCACTGTTGTTTGTACTGCTCTTATCTTGGAGGAGCCAGCTGTTTATCCATCAATGGTCTGGTTGGTATGTCAACTTGGGTCTCTGTCCACTGAGCCACAGTAGCTGCTTTCACTCAGACAACAGAAGTTTCCATTGCATAGTTAAAACATGGAATACAGAAATTGTAGAATCATGGAATTGTAAAGTTGGAAAGGATCCCAGGGGTCATGCAATGCAGGAATAGTAGTATAACAGGAACAGCAATAATGGATATTTCTCTTTTCTTTGTCCTCTTATAGCTATGGGAGACTTCCATTTAGTTCCACTGTCTACCTGAGCTGATACCAGAACTGTTTACTTCAGATTTTATACAAACTCAGCATTGCTGAGTCGCTGAACATTCATCTGCTAAGTGGACAATTTGAAGGGCAGAGATGCTGACCAGCATGGAGCGAACAAGTTCCCTGAAGAAGGAAAGGACAATTTTCTGCAGTAGATTAGGATTTTAATTACAAGTAAAGAGCAACCAAACCATATACATACCCCATTTACCTGGGATACATGGAACTGAAAATATAAAAGAGTATTCCGCATGATGACAGATAATATGTAGATGCGCAAATGAAACTAATTGGGAGTCTCAAATGTGGGTTTTTCTCTGGTCTAACATAATCCCAAATAACTTTAAACAAACAAACAAACAAACAAACAAAAACAAAAAGAATTCAGAATTTGATATGTAAACATTTATGCTGTGTGCATGAATTCCTCCGTTCACCACCTTCCATGTGTAAGGGACTAGTCATTATACTTTAGTAAAACTAGCATGCAGAAGTAAGAAATGTTTTTTCCGCAAGTGGGATCTGAAGAGGCAAACATTATGACATAAGCAGCCAACAACAAAAAAAATTGCTTTTTAAATTTTTATTACTTTTTGTGATTATATTCTAAGTAGAAACTCATACGTGTGTAAAAAGTTGTAAAATACCAACAATGCAATTATATAATGTGGGGTTTTATTGTTTTGCTTGAAGAACACTCATGAGTGAACATTACATGTCAAAGAATCTTAAGGGCCAAAGTAGGCGTGGCATGGAAGGAGGACCATAGGCCAATGAAAGAGCACATGGTTTGTATGAAAAAGGTTCAGAATCGTCAATCAGAATCGTCTCCAAGCAGGACTGGAAAAGTCATCCTTGGAGAATGGCTTTCAGTCATCGTAGACAACACTGAGCTAGATGGACCAGGGGTCTGACTCGAAATAAGACAGCTTCCAATATATATTTTTAAATCTAATAGCAGCTGCAAGGGGGAGGGATGGTTCTGTAGTGTTGGGGGAGGATTTTTCAATCTTTTCCCCAACTGTGCTGTTTCCCCCTCAAAAACCGCCCCTGTGTAGCTGCTATGCCAAAGCTCAGGTGCTAACCTGAAGCCTTCCTGGATCCACAGAAAACAGTGGTTCACTGCAAGACATATTATTCTCCTTCCCAATGAAATCAATGGGACTTTAACAGAGCACTTACAAAAAAACAATGGCGTCACAATCAGGGACCACAACAGTGAATGTGATGGTGGTCAGAATGGCACATTTGCTGTATATATTACATTTTTTTCTGAAGCTATCCAGAGCTCTTAAGTTATCTGGCTTCACCAATTTATCCTATGTGCTGATATAATACTATGTAAATAATGCACTTCTTGGCCAAATAAGAGCCATTAACTGAACGGTTTGATTAAGTTACCAGAGGCCATTCATCTACGTGGAGTTGCATAATACATGTATGGAGGAATCTCTGTTCCTACACCGTGCACTATGCACTATTGGTATGCTATGTTGTTATTGGCTATATACATTCGTCGATGTTCCTGAACTGAGTTCGTTATGAAAGATTTTGCAAAGTTGTGTGTTGTTGTTTTTTTAAAAATCTAATATAGGGAATCTTGTGAAGGTGACACAGTATTGCCAGTATAGATTCTTATATAGGAGCTTTTATCCTGACTTACTAAGCACAGGGATGGGGAATAAATTTGTGGCCCTCCAGATGTTGGGACTCCAATTCTCTTCAGCCTCTGCCAGCATGGCTAATCACCAGGAATGATGGGAGTTGTAGTCTAGCAACATCTGCAAGGACACAGGTTCCCCATTCTGTGATGTAACATTGCAGGTGATAAGATGGTAATACGCAAAAAGGAAAGGGAGAGGAATCTTCAAAGGCATTTACAAAATAATGTTTTTTGTGTATTTTTTTTAATTAACAATATGTTCCAGTCAGTATGTTCCCGTCCTCTTGTTAATTGCATTCCAAAATAACTGTGAGGTAAAATGATAAAAATGAATAAGCACCTTATTATAGGTCTGTGGTGTGTATTGTAGCTCTCAAGGTATGTATTAGGCAAGGTTTTATATATGATGCTTTGTTAGTATCAGAAGTTGCAACATATACATGTTGGGACCAGAGATGTTTAATTCTGATCTTTCCCCCCAGTGATTCCAACATGCTTTTTTCCTAGCAGCAACTGGAGAAGAGATTTTTGGAAAACATTGCCTTGCAGAACCCAGAATAAAGTGATACCTACATGCATGGCAAGGAATTAATGGGCTGTTGAAAAATCTCTATTTAAAGCATTCTTTGGCAAGGGCATCATCTGATCTTTTGACAGTATTTGAATGGAAACAGCTTCTAAATTTCTAAATTTCATACTTATTTCACACAATTCTTTGGTACATATGTTGCCATGTGTGGCCTTCCTTCATTTAACTCAGGTATAGAGCACCTGTGAACCTCCAGATGTTGTTGGACTCTCAATTCCATCAGCCCCACTGAGCCCAGTTGCTGGTTGGGATGGTGGGACCTGTAGCCCAACATCTGGAGAGCCACAGGTTCATCTGTCCCTGATATAACTGGACTTACTTTAAGAAATTCCACTTAGTTGAAAATGTTGGTTCTATGCGAATATAAAGTACATTTAAGAATGTCTCCAATTGTAAAATATGTAAGACTTTTAAAGTGTTCTATTTATAAGACTCTGCCAGTTATATTTATACAACACTGGCCTTGCAGTCATAAATAATCCCTATAAGAAGCATAAAGTTGGGTAAGTATTTTGATTTGTAATAAATAGGAAAGGAAAGTTAAAAGACAGAGCAAATTCCCACCTGAGAAAATGTCTAAAGGATTGTACAGTATATGTAAAAGTATAATTTTGGAAATATATAATGTCAGCCAGAGACTGGAGGGTGAAAGCTAAGTTAATATCTCATGCCATTAGACTTGGGGAAACTTGATTGAAAACCTGGCTGCAGCTTCTGGAACACAACCTACCCTCAGGTTAAAGGAAGGTTAAAATAAAAAGGCAAACTCCATATTAATTATAGAGAACACACACACACAGCTTTTTGATCCTCAGTATCTGAAACATTTAGATGTATATCATGTGCCTTTTTGGATCTTTTTCTGTTTTGGTACAAACCTAAGCATCATTTTAAAAAGACTGATTAAGTTTTTTTGTTTTTTTTAATCCTCCTCCATCTTTTATTTTCAGGTCATTAGGAAGAGTGAAGTTTTGGTTTTTTGCCAGACAGAGCTGAATGTAATGTAGTGTTAGTTGAGAGAACTTCAGAACATTCATTGAGAATACACCCTTGTCTGCAGTTAATGGCATACACTGTTACCTACCATTGTTTTGACCATTACTAATATTTGTAAATATTCACCCATTCAGTAATCTTAATGTAAAGTTAAAATATAATTTTAATAAATCTTGGCTTTTACTTCCATGGTCTAGTGCAGGATTTCTCAGCTCACAAAACTGGATTGCCTTGGTGTGTGAAAGGGTCACGAATGCTGGTCAGTAGGAAATGATGACTTAAGTCTGGATTAAGAAGGTTAACTAATGGGTTTTGAGTCCTGAAAGAGGTAAGATTCTGAGAGAGGTGCTGCTTCTAGCTATCCCCACACTTTTGATCCATATGGACAGGTCCAGGGCACCTGTTTGTTTTATTTTAAGCCATATGTATATAAAGACTACTTCTGAAGATGCTTCTGCTGAACTGTGTTCACAGGCAGAGGCAATGGAAGGTTCCCCACAATATTTATTTCTTCTCAGGATAAATGAGCATGTCTCCTTTCTGTGGAGATTTCCAGTAAAAGGTATCTTAGTAAGATGTGATTGAAATGGATGTCAACTCTGCAGCCTTGTTCCTATGAGCCGCTGCGCCAGCAAAGAAAATAGAAAGGCAGAAGGCAATAAATTTGTGATCCTCCAGGTGTTGAGCTCCAACTCACATCTGCCCCAGGTAACATAACCAGTATTCAGGGATGATAGGAGTTGTAGTCCAAGAACATTGGGAGGACCTCAGGTTTTCTGGCTCTGGAATAAGGATTGTGGTGTTTGTGAGCTTCCATAGAATACTGTCACAGCAACAGTAGCTGGGGGCACCGTCAAAGCTTACTTGCTGCTGTTTACTGTAGATGTTGCAGTGCCACAGAGGAGCCACCCCAAACTCTTGTGAGACTTCACTAAGCATGTGGCTAAGTCTCATGAGGGACTTGGAGGGGGGTGACTAAGGAGTCTTTTGTAGCTGGTCCAGCCTCATTCTGTGGACAGCCATTGCTTGGTCTGGTACTCCCAGTGCCAGTGGCCACAGATTTTCTTGTACGGCTGTTCAGGTGACACCACTCGCTTTCCTCTTTTGTTTGAAGTGTGGTGGCTGCTACACCTCAAACAAAAGAGAAAGGAACCCAAAGTGATGCTCCACAGCTCGGCAGCACAAGGGGGGCATGGAACATGCATTTGGCCACCCCTGTCAATCTACTGCCTGAGACAAGTTGCTCAATGTGCCTCATGATAGGAATAACAATAGTTTGCAAAGCCTTCACACAGCAGTGAAATGGGCAAAATGAAGGCAATGGATAGGGGGGTGACTTAAGAAATCAGTAATACCTGTCAGAAACCACAAATGGTAGTATGCAAAGCTTTTATGTAGGAAGGAAACGGGCAGCTAAAAGGCAAAGAATGGGAGTGGACCTGGTAGGCCTCAGAACAGACCCTTCCTATAGTTTGCAGCTGTAATTAGTTCAGCACAAGTCACCTGACCTGTCACAGCTGCATTTGATTGGCAACTGAATTACCAAGCCTGAAATCAGGCCCAGGCCAACCTAACTTGGGTTTTTTTTAAAAAGAGTGTTTCTTCTGTAAACATGCAGCAAAACAGCAGCAGTATGAAGGTAAGTGAGAATAAATTTCATTCCAGAGTGTTGCTGAAATGTTAGTCCACGCCTGCTGGCTTAGGGTTTGTTTTAGGTATGTGAAAATAAGTGGTGGAGTCTAACACTTTGTTCAGTTGTCTGAATCTGGCATCATAAGGTAGTGAGTGAAAACATTAGAAGTAGCTATAGTTTGCTAACCTGAAATGACTACTTTTTGTATGTGTGTAAAAATCCACTTCTGTTGGTGGGTTCACAGGAATTAATGTAAGGAATCCATGACAGTTTTGTGGTGTTTTTTCAGGGGTGGGGTGGGGGGACAATCGCTATTTCCCCTTTCCTACCATGGTTACACTGCTGATCATTCATTTTCACTCAAATGTCTTCATTTTCTAATAAGATTATCTGGTGTGTGTGGAGGAAGAGGCGAGGGAGTTCATTGCTTAATTTGGAGTCTGAAAGCTTTCCTTAAACACAGATAAGTTCTGAAGAAATTAGTTTGGTCTTTTGAACATGGCCTCCAATATTTTCAGTATTGTGTGCTTTTTGAGGGTTATAGCTAATTTTACTTTATTTCTTGCATTTGGATTAATGTTTTATAATGAGCTTTGAGCTCTGGCACAAAATTAAATAATGACAACATGCCTTTTCATCCCACTCAGCTCCAACTGAGTTTAAAAGAGCTCATCTCGTGTCCAGGGGAACATAAAAACTGCTTTTTAATAGCATCAGAGCTTGAAATAGCCAGATGTGCAAATGTGAAACAGTCTACAGAGCAGCTTTTAAGCAGGATCTATGGTGGCATTTGGGACAGTGTTCCATGTCACTCTACTAAAAATGTGACTCCTCTTGCTGTAATCTTTGACAGTTCCATGGTTGTCCTTCAGAGAAATGTTTAATGAGTTGTTGTTCTGTGTGTAATAATACCACTACAGCACCTATTCATGTGAAGCCTCTTTGTGAAAGATAAGTCATGCATCTCCAGCTGTGCTAAGAGCTGTTTTATAGGGCTGTATGTATGTTTGACCTGCAGAGAAATCATGTAAGCACTGTAATTCCTCACTTCAGGGGAACATGTGGCCTTCCTGATGTTGTTGGATTCCCAGCTCCTACCATCCCCAAACAGCATGACAGAGATGATGGAGGCTGCAGTCCCAGCAAAATTTAGAGAATTTAGAGAATTCCCCCATCCCTCCCTTACATGCAGGCATACAGTATGGAAAAGATGTTTCAGTTCCACAGGAGAATTCTGGAGCCTGTGGCTTTTCAGGTGTTGTTGGACTTCAACTCCTATCATCCTCAGTCAGAATGGCTAATGGTCAGGAATCCTGGAAGCTGCAGTTCAACAACAGCAGAAGGGCCACAGGTTCCCCAACCTTGTAGAGAAATTGTGTCAGAAGTAACTCTGTAACTCCATGTTACAACCTCTACAGAACCCCCTGAGACCCCCGGGTAAAGGGCGGTATATAAATTCAATAAACAACAATAATACAGAGCAATTCTATGTATGCTCACTTAAAAGTACTTGGCCAACTCCCAGGTGAGTAGAGGCATGCTACCTTAGACTGCCAATGTAAACACAGCAATAGTACCACGCTTGGTGCCATTTTCAAGACCAACTGGAGAGCTAAAATCCAAGGAAAGGGTCAACCAGTGCTTTTCAGCTGGGCCACAGCAACCAGCCTATGTTTAAAAAACAATAACACCTTAAACTCAGAACACAGTAATAGCATTTTCTTAACTTTGAAAACAAGAAATATTTTACAACAATTTTTCTTCTAACATATATAGGTATATTTTAGTTGCAGTATGATTTATTAATAAAGTAGTATTATGGGTGGAATCCAACTTAGTTCTATTTAAAGTAGACTCAGTGAATGTAATGGTTCTTAAGACATGCACATTAATTTCCAATGGGTTTACTCTGAATAAGGCTAACATTGGATACAACTGGGTTTTTGTGTGTGGAAGTTACTAGGGATAGGCAACACAGCTTAAAAACAAAGCAAAAACCCACACGCTAGAGGCGTGATCTTGTACCAGAAATAGCTCTGCTAACTGCTGTAGCTACAGGAAATTTAGAACCATGGAAAAATGAAAGTGGAATAAACCAACTGGAATAAGTTGATAAGGGATGGTGCAATGGTAGGATACACCATATCAGTTTGACAATCAGGGTGGTAGAAGATGGCACAGTCTGAATCCTGCCAATAGACTTGAGCAGAGCAATTCAGTGAGGGGATGGAGAGAATATCTGGCAGTAAAGCCACCATTTTCTGAGCCCCACAGGTTTTACACCAACTAGGCAGAAGCTGGCAGGAAAGAAGCACACTGACTCCTGGACAAATGGGAAATCCACTCTGATATGCTCTCCTTTTGTCCTCTCCTCTGGAGCAGTGACAACAGAGAGGCAATGACAGAGGTCCTTTCCATGGTGGCTGGGATTCCAAGGGCATACCTGCCTCTCTACCCATAAAGAGAGAGGGTCCTATAGTCTTCTCAGACGCCCTCCCAGGAACCACAAGGTTGTCTACCAATTCTCCTTTGAGATGCATGCAAACAAAAGACAAAATCCCGTGCGTTTTACAGTGGACACAATTATTATTATTATTATTATTTAAGCCTGAGAGGCCTTAAGACCTTACATATTCAATTTTTGCAAAGTATATTTTTACAACCAGTTTAGAAGCACTTGCTTAACTGCCCTTTGAATATAGTGGTGCTAGTTGTTAACTATAAAATATCATACAGTAGCAAGTCTGTAAATACAAAGATACGAAGTATATTGGTCTAATAATTCCTGCTGATTGCCTGTGTTGAGAATCTGTGTAGTATTCGCTAGGGCACACAGTGTGGTGCATATTAAACTGTAAACCTTTGCACAATCTTTGAGCAACAAGATACCACTGTATTACTTACGTACTAGCCACAATCTGAGAGTAATGTAAATATGCTTTTAGTGCCATTAATTATCTGTGGAATTTAAACACACACACACCCTTAACTTTGGGTGGCCAATTTTTATTAGAATTATTGCAATGTTTTTCAAGTAGCAGTTGTTATTTGTGACATCTTAAATCTACTGCTGCAAATGTTTTCTATTACAATGTCTTTGTTGTACTATATATCCAATGGCTGATTTTTTTGCAGTAGCGTGTTTGTCTTGTGGATATGGTAAAAACAAGCACTGTATTCACTATTGGAGGCTGAACCATATGGCATTTTTTAATTGTTTTACTGTTTGGAACTGTCTCAATCCTTCTCCTGCTGAAATTTTGACAAATGATAATGCAGAACCTTAATAACTACAGCTTTGAATGCAACTTAACTTCCATAAGCATCAAAATTCATGAAGCTAGCACACACTTTTTCCATAGTAACATTACTATGAGCATATTTAAGACAAAATGACTAATTTCTACCTTTACTCATGTATTATAACGTTCAGTAAATATGACTCAGTTTAATATGATTATGGTGTCCTCTTGTGTGTCCTTAATTTTTTTTGAATAATTTGGTGATTTCAAATTATTACTGTGGTTCTTGAAGGGTGTTTTTGTTTTGTTTTTGGAGGGTGGCAGTGTGAGGAGTTGCATCTTTCTCCTGACAGCAAGAGATGTGTTCTTTCTCCTTCAACTAGTTGTTAACATATTAGCACAGTACATAAATACCTGTTGAAACGTAAGTTGCACATTCAGCCATTTCATAATACCAAAAAAATATGAAAAACTAATTGGTGCAATCTTCTTGGCATCACCTTTAACAGAGTGGCCTGTTGCAGCTGGTTGGTGGATTATTTTATATATAAAATTTACTGACATATAAATAAGTATATTTGATCTATTTTGTTTTTAAATAGGGACTCCAATTCTCTGAGCCTTGTCAGTAGTTCACCTCTAGAACAATTGGGAGGTAAAGCTAACTGTAGAACAGGGGGAAAGAAATTTCCTGTAACCTCAAACTGGTGTCTTCCAGATGTTGTTTGCCACAGCATAGTCAATTGTAGTTCAAAACATCTGGAAGGCACAAGATTGGTGAAGGTTGCTCTAAGGAATGGAACTGTCAAGCTGATTTTTCTTTACCTTTTCTTCACCTTCACACAAAAATGTCTGTCTGCTAATGAGTGTGTTATCTCCCTCACCCCATAACATTTCCAGTGCTCTGCAAATTGTCTCTTCAGTAACGAATCTGAGTTTCTTGCAAAGCTTGGGTCATGAAGCATAACACCAGAGCTGCTGAGAAGTGAAAAATGTGTGAACAAGATGGAAGGAAAAAGCCACCTGTCAGTTACCTGATGTTGCAGCCATGATCTTTTTTGCTTGCACTTAAGCCTCAGAATCAATCCCTACAGGCAATTAAGTTCAAAAAGTATGAAAACTGTATTTTGCTGTTTGCTGAATTGCTTGAGCCATTTTGATGAGGGCATGACTGACCGGCACCCTGAATAGAAGCACTCCACATCAGGGGCGGAGCAATCTGCCCTGGCACCCGGAGCGGCGTGGGAGTGGGGCTAGCCGCCCACACGGCAAGTATTCCCAGCCGCCCACTGCCCACACGGTGAGCGTTGGAGGGGTGCCACTAGCCGCCCGCATAGTGAATGTTCTTAGCCGCCCACTGTCTGCTAGGTGAGCATGGGGCGGCACCACTAGCCTCCCGCGTGGCGAGCGTCCCTAGCTGTCTGCTGCCCGCATGGTGAGTGGGGGGGGGCATGTGGCGATGTCACCCCTCCTCATGGCTGACACCCGGGGCAGGGTGCACCCCCCATGCCCGCCTTCCTCGCCAATGCTCCACATTGCAACATTTTGTTGTAGGACCCACTTGTGGAATGTAATACGATAATTCAGTTAAGATTAAATGCCCCACCCCCCGCTCTGTGCTTTGCAGTGGTGGCTGATAAGGGGGTGCACCCCACCAAGACTGACAGGTCCATAACCTCCAATCATATTAAGCAGATTGGCATAGGGCTTCCTTGGATTTGTCTAGCGCCAACCAAGCCTCAGCCAATGTAAAGCTTCACAATTCGGCCCATAGATGTCAATGGCCTTCTGCAGCTCCTGACAACCAACTGTACTCAACAGTCTTGGAAGTGTTACCTCCAGCCACTCAGAGCTCTTTACATTCAATTAAACCCATTGTGCTAGACATGTCTCTCTGCATGGCGGCTGAGAGTCATGTCACTTCAACAGCAAGAACAATATTCTCCAAGTCAATATCCTCATCGTAGGAGCTCAAGAAACATCAGCTACAGGAGGATTGTACTTTTGCTCTCTGTGGCAGACTGTCGCTCCAGTATTTGCCTTTTTAGTCAAAGAATCCTGAATTAGATTCTCTTTTTTAACAGGGGAAAGTGGCAAAGGGGCGCTGCAAGTTCGCTTTTGTAAATAGAGAAGCAAATGCCAACATGTACTATATCTGGAGTTGACATCAGGGATGGGAGATCAGTAGGTCTCATTATTCCTGATCTTGGCGACATTAACTGAGGCTAATGGAAGCCGGAGTCCATACAGCAGCAGGTACCCCACCCCTGGTCTATGAGTATTTGCAAACGAGTACTCTTATGGCCCTCCTGCCAACCTAGCAGTTCGAAAGCACATGAAGCGCAAGTAGATAAATAGGTACCGCTCTGGCAGGAAGATAAACGGCGTTTCTGTGCGCTGCTCTGGTTCGCCAGAAGCGGCTTAGTCATGCTGGCCACATGACCCGGAAGCTGTACGCCGACTCCCTTGGCCAGTAAAGCGAGATGAGCGCCGCAACCCCAGAGTCGGTCACGACTGGACCTAATGGTCAGGGGTCCCTTTACCTTTACTTACTCTTACGGCCCACTTGGTATGAAATGTTGGGTCGCCCTGATCTGGAAAATCAGTTTCCTCTACCAGCACCTGGATCTGATCCGCGACCACCCATGACCACACTTGTAGGTGCAGCAAAGAGACTTTGTTCTTAAAACTTTCTTTATTATGATGATCAGGATATACAGAATATAAATGTTGGTTAGCAAAGTTTCTGCATAGAGCTTTATGAGTAGGATCTGTTTATGGTACGCTGACCACGGTTAGTGATTTTTGTGTGGAAAACGAGGCATTTGTTTTACTGAATATTATTAAAAATGGTAAAAAAATACAATACATAATATACAGCAGTAGGCAGTATCGGAGCCCAAGAAGCTTGAATAAAAGCAGTTGCCTGTTATAGATTAAGCTTGTAAGTGCAGCTTAATCATAACCTTATTCATAGGTATATGCAGGGAAACACTATAATTAAACGATTTTGTTGGATCCTGAGTCCATCGTAGCAAAATGAATTTAAAATTCCAATTCAAATCCAGTCCAAAACCACAAAGTCCATTGACCATGAATTTATAGGGGGGGGGGGGGTTCCATTGTGTTTGACTATCAACACATTCTCCACAAAGTCATGAACATCTTCCATCACAATGAAAGGAAATTGCAGGTGTGTAGCCAGTATACATGGCCTAGGAAAGCATAGTCAATTTAGGAAACTTTAAAGTGCTGCTCAAATTTGAAAGAGAACATAAATCTGAAAAGGCACAGAGCAAGACCAAAAGCCATAGTTCAAATTTATTATTGCTTTGTCTATAGACCAGCCTTTCCCAACTTAATGTCCTCCAAATGTTCTGAACTGATCAGTCATCAGGGTTGATGGGAACTAGTGCAAAACATCTGAAGGCAATCTGGTTTGGGAGTGCTGCCCTAAACTTATTCATCATCAGTGTAATTCATATTCTCAGATGTGGCCCACTGCATGTTGGGCTCCTCTTACACAGAGGAGATCGGGCAAAGACGATAATGGTTTCCTTCAGTCTCAAATCCAGAAAAGGAAGGTGCACTCGTCCTCCAAACACCTTAGATGAATATCGACCAGTTGCCGCTGAGAGTTGCTGGGCCTTACATTGCAGAGTAATAATGGAAAACATAATTTTTGAGCTTATTTTCGACACGTATAAATTGCTTGCACTTCTCTTTTTTGCTATTGCAGATATGTGTGTTGAAACTGTACATTTGCTACGAGCTTATACAGCTGACCTGCAGTGGCTGCTGTTTATCTGGCTTATGCCTTTGGGTGTTCTTTCCCAGCCCTGTCGAATATCAGTTAACGGCCGATCGATACATGGAAATATGAGGAAAAACTTCATGGCCAACACAATGCAGGGGATAATGAGAGAGAGGATGTAAACGGAAGGAAGGCACCATGGGTAGGTGTCAGCATTCAGGAACCTCTTCCCACCGTAGACCAGTGTATGGGCAGTGCACAACACCAGCGTCAAGTAGCCCAGATAAGACTAGAAAACAAACAAAACATGATTGCAAAGCTAGCTTCCTTATTATGAGATACATGGCAGCAAATCAGAAAGCATTCTATTCTGTTATCAACAGATGACCAAAACTCAATTCTCCTACTGATTCCGGCTGGCAATTTTCTTGGTCAAGATGGGATAAAGAAGCCCATTGTGTCTTTGGGCAAGTTTGCCCACAGGGCTGAGCAGCAGTTCATCCATTAAGATAACGGCTTCACATGCTGTATTGTTGCCAGGTTTATGCAAACTTTCAACACCAATGTGTGCAAAGGAAGCTCTCAATCATAAAGGCAGGACCTTTACCGTATTTTTTGCTCTATAAGACTCACTTTTTCCCTCCTAAAAAGTAAGGGGAAGTGTGTGTGCGTCTTATGGAGCAAATGTAGGCTGCACAGCTATCCCAGAAGCCAGAACAGCAAGAGGGATTGTTGCTTTCACTGCGCAGCGATCCCTCTTGCTGTTCTGGCTTCTGAGATTCAGAATATTTTTTTGCTTGTTTTCCTCCTCCAAAAACTAGGTGCGTCTTGTGGTCTGGTGCTTCTTATAGAGCGAAAAATACGGTAATCAGGCCTATGAGGCACAGTTCTCTTCTTTGGGTTAGATACATGAAATGAACTATAGGGAGGATTAGCAAAAGTATGTATAATCTATTTTTAGATTATCCACCAGCTTTTTGGTGTATTTTACTTTTAAAACTTTCTAAAAATTATAATTTTAAAACCTGTGATTACTGGTTTTCCCAGATGTGAAAAAGCAAACTCGACAATATGTCGTTCATAAAAGCTACAATCAGACTAATGAGAAACCTTTGCAAACAAATGGCCCTGACATAAACAAGGAGTAGGAACAAAACATCTCTTATCTGCAGCAGCCACAGAGAAGTCCTTGCAGGAGTGATTAATTTCCCAAAAATGAGGGAACCTGGAGAAGTGTCTTTGAAGACTTCCTGAACGGGTGGTTTGGATTGTGTTAGGCCCCTTTCCTTCTCATTTCCAGACAAATATTAAGACTAGGATAGGGAACATGTGGCCCTCTATATGAGGTTGGACTCCAACTTCCATCATCCTAGGCAGCCTAACCAATATATTAGGAATGGAAATTGTAGTCCAGCAAAGTCTGGAGAGCCACAGGTTCTCCATACCTGAGCCACGCTGGATTGGAGTAACGGTCTATATATCCCAGAATCCTCTTTACCACAGTAGCCAACCAGATGCCCCAGGATAATTGGGCTTTACTTCTGAAGAAATGTCCATAGGAACACACTGAAAGTGAGGAAGAAGAAAAGTTAGCTTGCTGGCTAGCAAGCTCTCTTACCTGTACAAAGCGAAACTCTCTCCAGTTGACACTGTTGCTGACAGAGGGCAAGGATGTTATTCCCAGGAGGACAAACAGAAAGAACCCCAAGATACCCAAAGAAACATACGAATCACTCATCCAGGCTCTTTCATTGTTCAATGGTTCTGTTTTGTTGTTCAACACCTAAGGTGATAAAAGTTTTTAAAATACTTTTTAATACGCAGTAGGTACAGACAGATTAAAATACAGCTATAAAATGGCTTTAAATTAATATTGTGAAATATTCAAGGTGCTCTTGACAGGTTTTGTATGTGCACGTCAAATTGACAAAAGTTGCACCTATCAGAAGTCAGGAAATTTCTATCGTCTTAGAATGGTAAAGACTGGAGATAAAATGGAATTCCCTCTTTTCTACATTTGCCAACATTTGTTTCTGTCAGCTGTGTAGGGAAGTTTGTTTCTGGCAGGTGACAGAAGTTTTACAAGGTTTCCCTGTGGGATGTGCTTGCTTGCTTGACCTGACAAGCACAGACCTTGTTCAAATGTCCGCCTCTGAAAGGTCCAGAACCTTACATGGTGGACAGTGTCATGAATGAAGAGCAGGCAAGAGGGGGTCAATTCCATGCTGTGATACGACATGTTTGGTGACTAGGCAGTGGATCTGAATTGGGCCCAAATCCAACTGCAGGGTATGTGGGGGGGTTGGTGAATGGAGTTTATCTGGCTTCATTTTTAAGACTGAAGTGTTTGAACAGTCTCTAGGCTTCAGAGCACTAGTAAATCGTAAATCAGAAAAGTGCCAGAGGAGCAGAATCTTAGAATTTTTTCACAGCCTTTCCCAACAGCTCTTCATCCTTAGTGTGGTAACGGTATTGTGAGTGGGGGGGGGGAACAACTGCCTTCCAGAGGCAGCATGGGATAAAGGCCCTGTAGTTTTTGCTTTTACTGTTAAGATGGCTGGTGGTAGTTAGAGGTTCTAAATGGCAACTGGGGTTCAAACAGTTGAGGTTTCCCCCCAGTAAGAACCAATGGCTGCTCTTACTGGAAGCCCGAGAACATCCCTTACAGTGGTACCTCAGGTTACATACGCTTCAGGTTACAGACTCCGCTAACCCAGAAATAGTGCTTCAGGTTAAGAACTTTGCTTCAGGATGAGAACAGAAATTGTGCTCCGGCGGCGCAGCAGCAGCATTAGCTAAAGTGGTGCTTCAGGTTAAGAACAGTTTCAGGTTAAGTACGGACCTCTGGAACGAATTAAGTACTTAACCCGAGGTACCACTGTACTCTCTTTTACATTCGGATGTCTCCATGGGAGCATAGGGAGAAGCAGGGAGGGCATGATCTGTGCCAGATGGAGAGCAGCAAGCACGATATCCTGAGCCCTTGCGATGTTTCTGATCATAGCTGTCAACGTTTCCCCTTTTTAAAGGGAAATTCCCTTATTCTGAATAGGATTCCTCGCAAGAAAAGGGAAAAGTTGACAGCTATGTTTGATGGCTTCAAAGCCCTGCTTGCATCACATCCCCATACAAAGTTCAAAGACCTCAGTGCTGGTGGTGGAATGGGAGAAGAAACAGCACAACATCAACTTACCTGTGCAATGACATAAGAGCTCCACCTCCATCGTACATAGCCCCGAATAGGGATCACGAGTGTGTACAAAACATGGAGGAAAGCGTAAGCCAGGGCTACCAAGCCAAGCTGTTTCCTGCAGAGCATCCATTTGTCTAGCCAATCTGGAAAGCGTCTGTACTTTGTACCTCTGTATAACTGGAGGACAGCGGCAAAGATCCCAGGCAAGTAAACCAGAGCGAGGAGGATGAGTGCCACAGCAGGGCAGACCCGGTTTGGGATGCTGATGGCAATAAAAAAGGAACGGTCCACTTGTTTCTTAGCATAAGTATAGACCACATCACGGACCACGCAGTAGAAGAAGATGAATGCACTGAGGACAAGGGAGAGATAGATGGGGTATTTCCACATCGGGAAAAGTTGCAAAGGGTAATTCTCAATTTCCGTTGCTGCTAAGAGAGACCCTTTATCCAATGGAGTAAGACCAAGGCTTCGAACGATCTCCATCACCTTTTCCTTTGACTTGCTGTCATCTCCGCAGACAAATACCTGGAGCAAAACAGCAGCAGCAGCAACAACAACAACACAATGAAGGGAGACCTTATTTATTGCCAGTGTTTGCTTTCGAACACTGCTCTGACTTCAGTAAGAAGCTGTGTTTGAATTGCCAGAGTAGGTCTAATGCCCACAATTAGCTCGTGTTTTTAGAAGGCTATCAACTGACCAGAATTTGGCTAAAACAGAAGAATCAGAAATGGGGGCAGGGAATGGGGAACATGCGGTCTCCAGGTGATGGAATATAACTCCTATTATCCTTTACCATTTGCCATGATGCCTCAGGCTGATGGGAGCTTGAGTCCAACAGCAGGTCCACAGGTTCCCCAACCCTGGTCTACGGCTTGTGATTTTCCTTAAGTGCCCTTTACCTCCCTCCTCCCCACAAAGAAGAAAATTAAAAGCTGGACTTTTCTCACTTGATGCAAACTTTCTGCTTTCTTATCAGCTCTTTGGGGCCACAATATAAAACTAAGACTGCCAGCCTTAGATGGTTAGATCTCCAGTCTAGAAACAGTTTTATATTATGCCATAAGCAGTTCACCTAAAGAGCCTTTGAACTTGGAAGAAATGCTTTAGGAGTTGCGAAATGAAGATCTAGAACTGGGTTTTCACCTTTCAAGTCTCTTTAAATGTGAGCATCTTTTGCCCCAGAGATGTCATTACCTGTCTGCTTGCATCCAGAGCACCTGACTGCAGAGCCCAGGCTGACACGGTGTTAAATGCTTTCACCACTTTGCTGCCTGGCAGGAGCTGGGCAAGATATTCAGCATTGGATTCCGGGTACTGGTTTATTTTGAGGTTGTTGCTCACATCCACCAGCACTTTCCCACGGAGAACTTCCCTTAGGTTTTCCAGAAAGCTGTAATGTGTTCTGTGGACTGCTAAAATGATAACAGCAGATGTTTCTGCAGCTTCTGCATGAGAAAGCACTGTGGCTCCTTCAGGGATCAGAGAAGAAGTCTGAGCACCTCGGCTTCCAAACACGATAGAATAGCCACACTGCATCATTTTGTGTCCTAGAGATCTTGCAAAATCGCCTGTTCCAAAAATGCACACCGTCTCCTTCTTGTTAGGTACATCTGTAGTCAGTGGAATCATTGTAGTGTTCTTCTCCATAATGGACAGGCACGATGGTCACCTACTAATATACAAGATTGTACATATTAAACCTTATATCTGCACTCGCTAGGGATAAAATAACTCAGATTAGTTCTCAAATAACTCAAGCTCTGTGATTTACAGATCAGTAAGGAGGGTTGTATAAGGTCACAGGAATATGTCCTGTTTCCTGCTGGAATCTGCAGTAATGTGTGTGTTAGAAATGTGCCTGTTGGTATGAAAACTGTTGAGGTATGCTAATATTTTATATACTGCTCCTTTTAATAGTTGACTTCTCTTGGCACAGCAGCACATCCTGCAAGGTTAACTTACAAGAATCTGAAACTAGACCTTCCAGAGGATGCTGTTAGTGAGCAATTTCACTGCACTGTTTGAGCTCACTCACCGGTGTGCAAGAACAAGCAAGAGACCAGCCATCTTAGAAAAAAGACTTTCTGATGCTCTCAGTATCTTGAGAGATTCAAGTGTGTGTGTGTGTGGGGGGGATTATGCAGTTTCCTTTTGCAAGTATTCTCGGGATCCAGCACAAAACACAGGAGGTGCTTCTGTTATGTGACTTGTTGTTCTGAACTTAACCTCAGCTTAAAACCTCTTTGCAAAACTACGTGTAGTTTTCATGCAAAGATCTGTGTGGAACTGTGTGTTTACATGAATTTGTTGTTTTTAATCAGAGCTTCAGGGTTTTTTTTTTTTGGTCCCTAGAACCTTCCTTTTATATACCATATTGGCTTGAATATAAGCCTCACCCACAAATAAGCTGCACCTTTAAAATTCAAGACTTATTTGCAGGTGCAGGCCGCCTCCCAGCACTACCGCCCTGAATGGGGGGTGGGGGGTGCGGCCAGTGACAGCGCTCGGTTCTGAGCGCACTGTGCACCCTCTTCCTGGCACTACCGCCTCCCGACATTACCTCCCCAAGCCGGCACCGGCTGTATCCTGCCCCCTGTTCAGGGCAGTAGTGCCAGGAGGCAGGCGTGCAGAACTCAGTTCTGAATATAAGATGCACACATTTTCACAGTCAGAATTTGGCAAAAAAAAAAGGTGCGGCTTCTATTCGGGCCAATACGGTACACCTTCATTTCACTAAGTTTCTTTTTTCCCTAAATTGGGAAATGCAAAACCACAAAGCAAATGGTTTTGTCAAAGAAATATATTCCTTTGTGACTTCAAAAGTTATTTGATAGAAATAAAGGGGTGCCATATTTTAGGAAAATCGTCTGTATCAGACCTTGGCCACCTCAAAAGTCAAGTAAACATGGGGGGGGGAGGGGGGAATGCTAGACGCCACCCGTGATAATTTGACCAAAATTTCCTCTCCCCTTTAACAATTTTTGAATGTTATTTATTTCCTCCTTTATTGATGGGGAATAGTAGGGCAGGGAGGAAATGTGGGGTAATATTTTGGGCACAACGCTAATCATCACTACCCCACCCAGAAAGAAACGTCCAAGTTGTTTGGATGCTGTTCAGCTTTAGAAAGATGGGCTATGAAATTATGAATGGATCTTACTTCCTTAGTAATTCCTTGACTTGAGAGCAACACCCCACCCTACCCACACCAAAAAACAAAAACCCAGTTTCTTTACAACAGCCTGAGAGAATTCAAACAATCTATGCTACTTCCCTAGCTGGGGACAATTCGGTGCAATAAATGCACAGATAAACCCCCAGGAAACTTTTAGCTTTAGGAATGTTGAGAGCCTATTTGGCCACTAGGTGGCAGCATGGATTTGCTTTGCAACTTTGTCTTTCTGCTTTTATGTCAGCCTTATGGCTATATACCTGTGCTTGAAAAGGAAATACTAAAGAGATATATTTGTTTTTCTTGTGGGAAATAAATGCTATAGAAATTCTATAAATAAGTGAAACAGCATTTAGTACACACTATATATATTTTCCTAACTATGGCTTTACCTTCTCCCTGTTTCTCACCAAAATTGGAATAAAAAGGGGAAGACTAGAGTTGCCAAGGGGGTATGTTTTAGGGCTGCCCTCGCTGATTAAACCTACATAAATGTGCACATGCCTGGAAAAAAATAGGTCCGAAGAGACAAAATGCAGGATGCTTTTCAGAGTAGAACCACTGAAATTAATGAATATAGAATCACAGAATTGTAGAGTTGGAAGGGACCCCAGTGGTCATCTACTCCAAACCCTTGTAATGAGGGAATCCTGTCCACAGTCATCCCTGGTTAACACACTGACCCACTGTACCACCCAAGGGCTAAGTTGGGTCTACTCTGACCAAAACTTTGTCATACTCAAGAGTAGACGCATTCAAACCCCTTTTCTGAGGGGTCTCAAAAACTTTGAATGCACCCCACACCCAAAAAACCCCCACGTCCTGAATAATTTTTATTGCCCTCTTGTGCTGAAGAGTTATGTAATCAAAACTGACCTTTTTGATAGCTTTTGGAATGCCAAGGGTGTCACTGACTACTAGGAAAAACAGCAATGTATGCGCAGCCTCGTTTTACCTCCGAGGATCAAGCCCAAACAGCAGGGATGAGAAACCTGTGGCCCTTTGAATGTTGTTGAACCACAACATCTGGAGGGCCCACAGGTACCCCATCCTTGTAATGCCGTGGGGAACTGTAAAGTACAGTGGTACCTCAGGTTAAGTACTTAATTCGTTCCGGAGGTCCGTTCGTAACCTGAAACTGTTCTTAAGCTAAAGCACCACTTTAGCTAATGGGGCCTCCTGCCGCCGGAGCACGATTTCTGTTCTCATCCTGAAGCAAAGTTCTTAACCTGAAGCACTATTTCTGGGTTAGCGGAGTCTGTAACCTGAAGCGTATGTAACCTGAAGCGTATGTAACCCAAGGTACCACTGTAGTGGGGAACCACAGGCCTGAGGAACAAAATGTGGCCCTCTAGACCTCCCTGTCTGACCCTTGTGACTATCAGCAGGCCACACACACCTCATCACTCCTGCTTGGTGCTTTACTTCATATTTTTGCTGGTGTCCTTGAACCCTCATCATGCCTCTTGGTTGCCCAGATGGAGGATAGAGAGGTAAATATTACTTTAAATGGCCACCTTCGCTGCTGGCTCCACCCACCACTCTCATGTGACACCCCCAGATAGGAATGAGGCCCTCAATCTGAAAAAGGTTGCCCACTTCTACTGAATAGTCATGGGAGACAAGAGTCATAGCAAACACACTTGATATAGCATTGCTAATGTGCAATTTATTTATTTTTTACATTTCCCAGAAACACTAATTGGGGTGGGGCTGGGGGGTAGAGAAAGGGGTTGGAATTCCCATGTTTTCCTCTTCTTATTCTTTCTTCATTCATACTCTCTTTTGTTTTTCCAGTATTGCTACATCTAGGAAATGAATGTCCAACTTAAAATGGGGGGGGGAGGGATGAATTATAAGAGCCTTCTGTTATGAGGTGCACATTGAGAAATACAAAATAAACAGGGGGGGGGGGGGATCCAAGGGCCAGGCTCGTAATGCAGCAAATTTATCAGTGTAATTTATTTTTTAAGGAAATGATCCCCTTTCTCCGGTGCACATACTTTCAGCAAAAAGATTCTGCGCTGTGAGTTTTGACACAGCAGATAAAACGAATTGTTAGAGGTGATAAATCCTCTTGTGGAGAATGTGCCGCTGTTCTGCTCCTCACATCTCTGCCTTTTATCAGGAGAATACTAACGCTGCCTGGAGGTTCCCGAGACATATGAAGCAGAGGTCTAAAAAGATGTGCTTAATGTTGTCTAAATCATAACAAACTACTGAAAGAGCTGCAAATCTCATCGCCTCAACCTGTTCCCATAAATACATAAGACCAGGCTTAAAAGTTGAGTCGTTTTCTTTGCATTTCCAGGGTTGTTGAACGGTTCAGGGTCTAAAAGTATCAGGCGTTAATCCAGTCCAGTCAACTGCGGAGTGAATTGGAAACGAGCTCATAAAGTCCAGGGAGTTTCAAAGGTAGAGCCAGGCTTACAAAGGACTGAGCAGGGTGTGTATGTGTGTGTGTGTGTGTGTGTGTGTGTTCATGCATGGTGTTAAAATATACACTTGACTGCAACAATGCAGGTTTCTGACTTGTAGGGGATACAAAAAATAGGTATCTCGAATAATGGTAGTTTTCAACAGTGTGATTTTTATCCTTTGCGCTGATGTAATTCTCAGTTGCTGGTTTTACAGTGACTCTGGTTTCACAATGTTTAGATTTCCTCTTTTTATTGTATTTTACTTTAGATCTCATGGTTTTATTTTTCACAAAAACCTTTGTTCTTGGACAGTACAGAAATACTGGTAATAAGCTAAAACTGGTAATAACGGCTTGTGGCCAGTTACAGCTTTCAGCAGAGTAGCTGTCGTTTGTTGCAGCAAAACGTTTTGTGGCACCTTAGAGGTCAGCAGATTTGTTTTGGCCTAAGCTTTTGTTGACTTCTAGGTTCTATACCATGTGACCAATGATCCTCCATGCCTCCCCATCCCACTCCATGATTAGGGACGGGTGATTCCCCCCCCCCCCCATGTTGATGTCTATCAGTTTCTCATTTTTCCAGTTTTCAGGTCACCACATTTCAGTATCATTCTGTATTCTTTTTTCCCCTCAGGAAAATGCACCAGCATTTTAGTACTCATCCCCTCCCCCCCAATATACACATCTTTATATTCAATTTTGCCCAATGCACACATTTTGGTATTCAGTGTCCCCTTCAAATATAAGGCATTTTTCCTTCAAATATAAGACGTGGTGTAGTGGTTAAGAGCGGTAGTCTCGTAATCTGGTGAACCGGGTTCGATTCCCCGCTCCTCCACATGCAGCTGCTGGGTGACCTTGGGCAAGTCACACTTCTCTGAAGTCTCTCAGCCTCACCTCACAGAGTGTTTGTTGTGGGGGAGGAAGGGAAAGGAGATTGTTAGCCACTTTGAGACTCCTTAACGGGAGTGAAAGGTGGGATATCAAGTCCAAACTCCTCCCCCTCCTCCTCCCGCCCCTCCTCTTCTTCCTAATTTGTTGCTTTTTGTGCACATTTCACCTCTAATAAAAGCATCTTTGTACACTTTATTTTCTGCTGGAGAACTGCACAACAGAATTAGAAATGGAAATTTGAAAAGACAGCTGTGTTTTTGTTTTGTGTATGGTTTCAGGAAATAGGAATTAGGCAGGTTTGCATTAAAATTTGAGCCAAACTGAACTTCTCCACCCACCCCTAGCCTTTAGCTAAGATTCTGCTTCTGATCATCTGGTAATTGTTGACTACATCTCTCACTGCAAGCCCATAGCATTCAGCATAATCATGGGCTTCCTGGTAACTGTGCTTCTAACAGCAGAGGCGTTAGTTACATGACGACCTTGGCCGTAGCAGGATGTCATAACCATTATGCCAAGCGGCTAAAACAACACCTCTGGCTCTAGTTTGACACCGGGAAGTTCCTTGATGTTGCAATTGGGTCTTGCTGCCAGCTCCTGCTGGTAAAGTGCCTGCAAAAACACAGTGTGTGACCTCTTAGTACTTACTAATGTAAGGTACTACAAAAGAGCTTCTAACATAAAGATAAACTCATACAGGAGATTAAAGGAAAGGACAATAGCAAAACATGCTTATGCAAATTTGTATCCTCTGTTGCAGTTAGAATGGATGTTTGTAGGTAAAGGTAAAGAACCCTTGGATGGTTAAGTCCAGTCAAAGGCGCTTTTCAGGCCGAGGAAGCAGGAGTTTGTCCGCAGACAGCTTTTCCGGGTCATGTGGCCAGCATGACTAAACCGCTACTGGAACATGGAGGACTTTGATGAGTGCCAGAGTGCATGGAGACACTGTTTACCTTCCTACCGCAGCAGTTCCTTTTTATCTACCTACACTGGTGTGCTTTCGAATGGCTAGGTTGGCAGAAGCTGGGACAGAGCAACGGGAGCTCACCTTCTGATCAGCAAGCCCAAGAGGCTCCGTGTTTTAGACCACGTCGCCTTGGGTGTGTGTAAGAAAAACATGTCAGTAGCTACACAGAGATAAAATAAGATGCCTGACAGACATAATGACATCAGGTAAAGCTCTTCCCATAATTGCATTTCCGTACTAGAAGAGACCTAAGCTGCTGAATATCTGCCTGCTACACAGCTGTTAAAGGCACAAGGACTCTATTCTCCTCCAGCACCAACCCTAAACTATGCAAAGACCCCAAGTGCTAACCAGGATGCTGCTGGCAGTAGGGAAGGAGATTTTCACTCCCAAGTTGTGTTTTCATATGCAGTGCTTTGCTCTTCCTAACAAAAATGTACTGCACTCATGGGCTTATAAGGCAGAACTGACAGCCCGTCATATTGATGGGTGCCTTTGCCTCTGTTGATTTTATAACAAGGTTACTCTCGAAAACAAAATGAGCAGGTAGTGATGCATGTCTCTTCACACCAAGTTATTGTTAGTACTTCTAAAGGTCAGTTGCAGGCCAATTCTTTAACATGTTGCAGTGTACTACAAATCAAGCTACAGCAGGGATGGAAAACCTGTGTCCATGCAGATGTTGCTGATGAACTACAGTTCTCGGCACCTATGGAGAACTGCGGGTTCTTCACCCCCCAAATACAGGGTTGGCTAGGACATCAAAACTTTATTTTAGTGTCTATACGATTTGTCTTCGCATGTGTGTGTGTGGCACACAACAAACCGTATTTTCCACCTCTCCATTCCTCACTGGGGCAGCAGGTGTTTGCTCACGTAAAGCAAGCCCTGTTGCCTCTCATGCTTTTGTCATGTCTGGAAGTGTATATCGGCCTTTTCCACAGCAAGTGCACATGCAGCTCCTCAGGGCTTTGAGTGCCACATAATGTAGCCCCTTGTGCTTTCAGATCAAAAGACATTCTTCTGCCACAATCTGAAAACACACAGACGGGAAAGAAATAATGACAGCTGACTCAAGAACTTGGATCTGTAACTGGAGCCTGGATGGATAACAAACAAAGAGCCGTCCTTTCAAAGGGAACAGTCTGCACCTGAATAACAAGAATTGCTAGAAGAAGCAGGGCAAGTGAGGAATAGTTGGTCTCTGAGTGAATCACTGGAGGGAAACCGCAGGAAAGTAGATTAGCTGGGTGGAGCTGGAGCAGGCTGGGTCCTGCACATATGGATCAGAGATGGAGAGCTTGGGCCCTCCAGAGTTGTTTGACTCCCAATTCCCATCAACCCCAGCCAACAGCATGGGGGGGGCACCAGTTCCCCACCCCGATATAGATGTTTGGAGTTATGTCATTAAAATAAGTGATGAGTGGAGTGGCCTTGATCCCATGTCACTTTATAAACGATGGTTAAACTTAAGTATGGTTTAAAGGTGTAAAGGTAAAGGGACCCCTGATCACTAGGTCCAGTCGTGACCGACTCTGGGGTTGCGGCGCTCATCTCGCTTTATTGGCCGAGGGAGCCGGCGTACAGCTTCCGGGTCATGTGGCCAGCATGACTAAGCCGTTTCTGGCAAACCAGAGCAGCACACGGAAATGCCGTTTACCTTCCCGCCGGAGCGGTACCTATTTATCTACTTGCACTTTGACGTGCTTTCGAATTGCTAGGTTGGCAGGAGCAAGGACCGAGCAGAGGGAGCTCACCCCATCGCGGGGATTCGAACCGCCAACCTTCTGATCGGCAAGTCCTAGGCTCTGTGGTTTAACCCACAGTGCCACCCGTGTCCCAAAGGTGAACATGTAGCATGGTGTTAAAACTGCAGGCACTTTGATTCTCCTCTGTTCCTGCTGCTGGCCACCAACTAAGCTATTGATGGGCTTAGCATTATACCTGAACCTGAGCTTGAGCTTTGTTTCCCCCAAACAAACCTTGTGGCTACAGTTTGTGGTTTGTTTGGACAGAGACAATGATTTAATTTGAAGAAGCGTGTTGAGGCTCCTGCACTGCAGGAGGTTGAACTAGATCAGTGTTTCCCAACTTTGGGCCTCCAGTTGTTTTCGGACTTCAATTCCCATCACCCCTGACCACTGGTCTTGCTAGCTAGGTAGCTAGGGATGATGGGAGTTGTTGTCCAAAAACAGCTGAAGACCCAACATTGGGGAAAACTAGATGATCCTCAGGGTTCCTTCCAAGTCTACAGTTCTTTGATTCTATGAGAAGGAGGAGCAAAGCAAAGCCCAATGAACCTGTAAACTATAGCTACGCTCAACTATGGATTACAGTGATGTGTGAGTCAGGCCATTGTTTATGTGAGCTGCTTTAGAAGGCCAGTGTCCTGAAAAGCATCATGCTAATATTAGGATTTATAATAAGTAAATATGGACTTCAGCCTTACATTTTTCAGCGTATTTACAGATTGAGAGCTAGTTCAGAGATGATCAGATGTTGTTGGACTCCAACCTCCAGCAGAAATGGTAAGGGATGATAGGAGTTGGAGTCTAAAAACATATGGAGGGAAAGTTTCCTAGCTCAGGGACGTTTAGTAGGTGTCTTGTCATGTAGGGATGATGAAAGCTGCTGCATTTGTTGAAATTCTATCTTCAACATAGCAGTTACAGGTATGGCCAGCCCACAATATTTTGCACCTGTTGACTCTGCTCCTCTGGTAAAGTCTCAGTCCTCTTTAGGCAACAAGATGTTTGGGTGCTCAAAAGGGACCATGGTACTAAAAACAGAAACCTCTCGCAAGTATCCATGCTTTCCTTTTTAATTACGGGCTTGGCTGGAAAGCAATTAAAAGGCATCCGGTTCACCCTCCTACACAGAGGCAACAAACAGCATGCTGAAACCATTCTTCTTAATTTGTTTTAACCAATTCTCTTCTTTAAAAACCACACAAAACACCTCTGGGGAAGATGCCACTACATCCATCAAACACATAAAAAGAGCCCTGCTGAATCAGGCCAAAGGCCCATTAATCCAGCACCATGTCCTTACAGTGTCCAAGCACAGGCCGCAGGAAGCCTGGAGGTATGACCAGAGTGCACCCACCCACTTCTGACTTCCAGCAACCAGCGTGAAGAGGCGCACTGCCTCTGACACGGGAGGGAGACCATGGCCATTGCAGTTAGTAGGTATAGGTTAGCAGCTGCGTGCACCCTAATTTTGTCTAATCTTAGGTTGGTGGCTATCACTACATATTGTGGGAGCAGATTCCTACTTTAACTATGCCCTGGTGTGAAGGACTACTTTCTTTTGTCCATCCTTGATCCACCAACATTCCACTTCACTGGATGTTCTAGCTTAGTAGTATGAGAAGGGCTTTTTCTGTTCTGTGCGTAATTTTACTTTCTCTCTCCCCCTCCCCCGTTTTACTTTTTCCATTCTGTGCGTAATTTTACGCATCCCTTATCATGTCTCTTCTTACTGGTGTTTTCTCTAAGCCTTTTACCATATTTTTCACACTATAAGACACACTTTTTCCCTCCTAAAAAGTAAGGGGAAATGTGTGTGCGTCTTATGGAGCGAATGCAGGCTGCGCAGCTATCCTTGAAGCCAGAACAGCAAGAGGGATTGCTGCACAGCAATCCCTCTTGCTGTTCTGGCTTCAGCGAAAGCAACACAAAGCCTCTTCAACAACATTTGATTCAGAATATTTTCCCCCCTGTATTCCTCTTCTAAAAACTAGGTGCATCTTATAGAGCGAAAAATACAGCAGTTCTCTGTGTTGTAACCTTATCTCAAAGGAGAGTAGCTCCACCCCCTCAATCATTTTTGTTTTCTTTTTTCTGAAACATTTCCAGCTCTGTAGAGTTTACTCTACAGATTGACTCTGTAGAGTCAATCAAAACCGTATACAGTATTTCAAGGGCAGTCGCACTGCAGATTTGTACAGTGGCATGTTATCGGCAGATTTGTTTTCAATCCCTCTCCTAATGATCCCTAGCATAGGGTTGCCATATTTCAAAAAGTGATTTATTTATTTTTGCAGAATCTAAAAACAACAATAAAAACCTCATTTTGGGCCAAAGTTGTTGAGCTGTTGTTGTTGGTTTTTTGTTTAGCTATTTTTAAGGAAATTCACCAAAATCTACACTTCCAACATAGGTTGCCATACATTCGGATTTTCCCAGACATTTCAGTGATTTCCACCCGGACAGTTTCTGACGGCCAAATCCCAGCTATGTCCAGGAAATTCCAGATGTATGGCAACCCTACCCTAGAACAACATTTGCCTTTTTCACAGCTGTTATGCACTGGGTTGAAATTTTCACTGAGCTATGCATTACAACCCCAAGGTCTTGTTTCTGGTCAACCACCACCAGTTCAGATCCCATCAGCGTATATGTGTCAGGCATGCAGTATCTTCTCCTCCCCCGGTAGCCTCAGAGGCGAGAAGAACAAACAGTTCGTATTTTATGGCTTTTTATTCAGTCATCTGGTTGCAAGACAAAAGACCCATGTCTCTATGCATAGGAGACGTTGGCTACTCTGAGCCCCCCTCTTCCGTCTCCCACAACATCCTGGGAACCCACGGGAAGTCCCAGGAGTCATACTCCTTTGCATCCTTTGGGGTAGGTTTTCGGGTTTGGCAGAAGGAGATAGGATCTGCCCATGCAATGCCCACCTGGTGGAAACTCTAGCTCACATGGCCCTTAAATGTAAAATGTATGATGATCTCTGCCAACAATTTCTAGACCGTCTATGTATTCCAACATGGAAACCAGAGACGGAGGTTATGCACTTCTTATTACAGGGGAGAGATCAGGAGCTCACCAAGACAGTAGCTAAGTTCCTCTATTTGATTTTTTGCCACCGAAATATGCTACAGGATCCTGCCCTTGCTGGAAGCCCCCAGAGATGAGGCGGATTGTTCGCCTCTTCTGCCCTTTGGCGGGTGACTGTTCCGTTGGGGTGGCGACAATATCGCACTGGCCTTATCTATTCTGAATGTATTCTGAATGTTCTTATGTGATGCCAATAAAGGTGACTTGACTTTGCATCCTTTGTTCTTAAATGTGTGGGAACCGATGAGCCCTTGGTAAAAGAGGGTCTTCCAGGCTCTCCAGGGAGGTCTCTTCGGGCTGCTCTCTAACTCCCCCCTCTTCCTCTACTATCTTGAAGCTAGGCATTTCTTCACGCAGCTGTGAAGCAGCCCTGTCTCCTCCTCCTTCTGAAACTGTAGGGAAGGGGGGGCTTCCCCCCTCCTCTTCTGAGAGGAGCTGATCAGACCGAGGGCTCATTTCCCATTCCTCCTGTTCAGTCCAGTCCAGTGAACTTTTTGTATGGGGCGGGGAGGTTGCTCCAGTGTGCATTCCTGTACTCTTCACATCTAACTGCATTTGCCATTTCACTGCACATTCACCCCGTTTGTAGAGGTTCATCTGGAGTTCCCTGAAGTCCGTTTTTGTTTTAGCCATCCTGAACAACTGGTTACCAGCAGCAATTGAGTACTGGCAGTTGGGTACCAGCTGCCTGACTGCTCGCCCCTACCTCTAAATCTTATATGAACAAGTTAAAACAAGTTCAGGTCAGAAGTGCCAACGTGAATAAAATATTGGCTGGGGGGGCAGGTAAGCCCCGCCTGCACAATCAATCACATGATGTGGCACATGCACACACCATTTGAATGGCAATGCTCATCAACTTTGGGGGGCCTGCCCCCCTCAAATATTTTATTCGGGGGGGGGTGTCAAAGGGACCTGGGCCCCTAGGAGTTGGCTTCTATGACTCACGTTATTCCTCATTATTTTGACAGTTTTGTCAGTGCTCCTTCTTACAAACAACAAAACAAATCCTATTATCTATGCTGCTGCAGTTTAAATGAGTAACCCTGGGTTTTCTTTCTGAGTGGTATAATATGTACTGTGCATATGCGTGGGCATAAAAAGCAGGGCATGGGTGTGGATATAGGTCATTAATACATAGGGCGCAACACTGATAGCAAGCCTCATCTACAAACTAAACCTCCCTGTCCAGCTTTGCAGATGTTTTGTTCAAGGAACCAGTATGCTGAAAATCCACCTGTGTACCACAGAGTACATTTGCAAGAACCTCACTGGTCTGGTGCTTTCAATTCATTAGTTACTTTCTTTAGTGCATCGGGTGATGTGGACTATGGCTTGAGATTGCATGCAAATATTTTAGTATGCAGTTGGAACACTTCCTTTGCTATTACTGTTTAAAATGACTCTAAATCACCCCTACCAACCATTCTAGGAGCTTGGAAAGGTCATATCTCGTCTTTCTCCTTCTTAAAAATAATGTAATGGTTGCTACTTCAATGTATCATTTAATTTTCTTTTTTACAACTCTCTGAAAAGTGAGTGACTTTAAAAAATAATAATAATAAAAGTGCAGATTTACAGGGATGAGATGAAATACTGTCAATAGTGGTTGTCTGGATTAATGATGTGCTACAACTGCAAAGAAAGGATTAAAACTTGAGCTATTGATATTACTAAGATGCTTGCAGATTCAGTTACAGTATCATTTATATTTACATTTTTTAAAGAACAGCTGTTTCACATATAACTTAGTAAACGAGCTTTTGCATTTTCTTCCCTTCTCATCCCCCTCCCCCATTTTAAGTGGACTGATGTGATCAGGGAAGTCGGTCATGAGACAGTGGTATTTGGTTACTGCTGATGCGCTGACTAGATGGACTGCCCTCCACAATCCTTATTCATGGGCTGGACATAATAAAATCATAGAATTGTAGACTTGGAAGGGATCCTGAGGATCATCTAGTCCACCCCTCCTGCAGTGCAGGAATATGTAGCTGTCCTATACAGGGACTGAACCTGCAACTCTGGAGTTATCAGCGCTATGCTGTAACCAACCGAGCTATGAATAAAGTAGGTTAGATCTAGACCCGTGGTTCCCAATGTGGGGCACACGCCCTACAGGGAAGCAATTTGATTTTTAAGGGGGGCAATTTGAGAATGAGTTATTAACAGTTAATGGACTTTTAGGCTTCCTCCACGTGAATTGCGGTTCACTTTTTGAATAATAAGAATTATATGTCACGGGGGGCGGTCATCAGGATTTTAGAGATGCTTAGGTGGGGCATGGCCAAAGAAAGGTTGGGAACCACTGATCTAGACCAAGCTAACTGAACTTAGGCCCTATTGAAATCAGTGGGGCAACTTAGCCAATCTTTAGCCTCAGCCCCATTAATTTTAATGGGAACTTGGTGCGCTTAGCTTGGATCCAGCACAATCATGGCACACTAGCCATAATGCTTAATAAGAAATGTAATACAACATAGCGACAGCAATTTAGCAAATAACATTTAAAGCCTACCTTCTGAGGGTACAAATAAAGATAATAGAAAACAGATTATTTTCTCTTGCATCCCACATATGTAATGGTAAATAAGATTTTATTGTACTAGCAAAGGCCATGACAAAACCATAGAAACACTATCAAAAGAAAATATATACATGTGTAAAAACAAAGCCCCCACATAAGCCATCAGAACCACATAATCGCAAGTGAGACTGAAAACAGGGCAGCTCCATGACTGCCATATGTAATGGTTTTAGGTAATCATGAAGTGGGAGATGCTTTTTACGGTGTTTAATGTTTTACTGTTGTACACTACTCTGCTATTTTATGGTATGTCAGTATATAAATAATTTTATACATAAGGAAATCAGATCTTGCATTAAGCACATCAAAAATACACACAGGCCTGGTACCCAATACCCAGTGGTACCCAAAACCCAATGCTGGAAGAGGTGACTCCATCACAGTGGATTTGTTGTTGTTGTTCTTGTTGGATGGCAAAGCAGACTAAATTTTCCAGTGCCTTGGGGGCAGATGCACATGGTACAATCCCAAAACTGGAGAAGCCATTTCTGGAGGGGTGATGGGGATCAGAGATGTGTGATGAGAAAGGGAATGCTAACACCTTTCCCACTGCTCTGCCACTTTGCCAATCCTGGGAGTGCCTTTTCCTCTTTCAAAACGGGGAAAAACAAAGCCATCTTTCGAAACCTGCCCTTCTCTGAACTTTGCAATGCAGTTCTTTGGATAAGTAATGTATATAGTAAAGGTGCATATACTAGTATAAAGTGTGCACAGCAATGCATGTATTGGTGAAAATAACATACAAATGTGCTGTATTAGGGTAAATTGGTTTTCCAAAATGTGCATATTGGGCTAAATCGAACACAAAAAATGTGTCTGAGAAAATCGCACTGAAGTGCTGCTGAATTTTCATGAGAACCTTAAAAAAAATATCGCAAACTGATGTGGAAATGTGTAGATGTGAATTTAAGATTGGAAAAATGAGGAACAGAGAAAAACCAAAACTGACATATTAGAAAAGGTCTGCATTCCACTTCATGGGATGACATGGACTCTTAAGTCCCAGAAAGCTTTTCCCATTTGTTCATTTTTAAAAAGTTGCCACAGGATCCTTTGTTGCCTATGTATGTCTAGTCTGGCCTTGAATGACACTTTTGGACCATTTATTCACATTTTGCAGTGTCACCAAAGAGACGCAAGCCCTTTTCTTTTTCATTTCCAACAGCAGGAGGAAAGTAGAAACAAGTTTGGATTAGCCACTGCATAGCATCTGTGCCCAGCAGAGACTAACTTGAAAAGGGTGCCCGTTTCTAAAATATCACATTCAATAAAGAAGGTGCGAACTGAAGCATTCTGCAAACACTTCGGTGGGTTTCCCAGGGGAATAGTGAGATTTGTCAAGTTCTCAATTTAAATTGCCACTTACCTTCCACACTCTGCTGCCTGTGGTATTTCCACCCCTCCTTGTCACTTACTGAGCGCAGCTGCAGCTGCAGGCAGCATCTGGCTGGAGGAACTACAGATGCTTCCCTTTGCTTGGAAGAGAATGAGGAAGTACTTTGTTACTCCTGGACATTTATCAGCTGGAGAGGAGAGGCAGAGAAGGGAGGGGAAAGAGAGGGAGGTTGGGGATTTTGCAAGTCTGGGCCTGGAGGGTGGAGAAGGGAACAGAATTTCCCGGCGAGCGCCTTGGGGGAAATTCCCTGCCTTGGTATTTTTTCATTGGATAAGGTTCAGTCACGGCTGCTTACTCTGCCTGTTGGCAAGTGCTGAACTTCTGGCTCCTTGCCAGCTCCTTGTTCAAGCTGCCTTCTCTTCTGAGTTTATACAGTTGGAAGTAACTCAGCTGCTTCAAAGGCAGAAGGAAGCTGTAGCTACTGCAGGAGCCATGCCTATCTCGTCTGCAGATCATGAGTGGTAATTTTATTCATCAGTTTATTCCCTTGCTAGTGGCATTTTTGCATGACACGTCACACCACAAAATTTGCTGGGAAGTTTGCAATATAAATAACCATAAGCCTCAGCTCGCTGCCTTTAAGGACATAGGAGCCTGACCAATGATCCCCCTAGCCTAGTATTCTTGCAATGGCCAACCGGGTGACTTTCTGAAGCCCGAAAGCAAGACCTGAGTCCAGCAGCACTCCCCCCGTTTGTTGTTCCCAGCAATAGGCCTTCAGGGGCATTCTGCCTCCAATAGAGGAGGTAGAACATAGCCATTGTGGCTTGTAGCCAATGCACCATGGCTAGTAGCCCTTATGTAGTGGGCTTTATCATGCCACCTAGTGGGTTGAAGGACTGGGAGCTGTGATGTTCCCTAGTTGGTTGTAGAATGGCCCATCCCGGTTGTCAATCAATGGTCTGCTAAGGCTTCGCTTCAAGTTTGTGGGGGACCGTAGCAAGCTACAACACACTCAGGTTGCTGGCAGGGCCCACAGGAGCGACTCACACCATGGTTGGCCAAGAGCTTAGCAACTCCTTCCCAACTGTCCAGCAAACAGGCTTGGAATTGGCCAGCAGGCAGTGGTTAGATCCTTGTCTGGTGCCACACCAAACTCTGGAATCAATATACTTGTACCATGTTTAACCTCCATTTCTTGGTGTCCCATCCCTCCTGGGTATTTTGCCTACATGCACTTGATGCATAGTGTAAATAGAAAAGGATACATAGCTTCAAAATTAAACTAAGCTAAATTCAAAATACAGTGGTACCTCGGGTTAAGTACTTAATTCGTTCCGGAGGTCCATTCTTAACCTGAAGCACCACTTTAGGTAATGGGGCCTCCTGCTGCTGCCGCGCTGCCGGAGCCCGATTTCTGTTCTCATCCTGAAGCAAAGTTCTTAACCTGAAGCACTATTTCTGGGTTAGCGGAGTCTGTAACCTGAAGCGTATGTAACCTGAGGTACCACTGTACTTCCTGGGAGTGGGTGGTAGGTGAAGTGGGTGGGGAGGTCACCTATTTATTATCTAGCTAATCCCATTATAAAGTAGACTCTTCCTCCAAGGAGCTCATGGTGGGGTGTGTAGTTCCATTTCTTTGCCATGTTATTTTTACAATGACCCTTTAAGTTAGCTAGAGAAATATTGTAGTGTGTGTGTGTGTGTGTGTGACTGTTCCAGCTCCCTTCAATAAGCTTTGTAGATGAACCTGAGTCTTCCCTAAGGGAGTGCACTTTTGTACTACGTATTCATGTGGTAAGCATGAATGCACACACACAAAAAATACAAATGGTTTGTAGTGTTATATAGTTATTATGGGGCATAAAAATAAATTACTCTTAAAACAGGTCGCCTATTGTAGTAGAATCTTTGATGTAGCCAAGAGCAATCTTGAAATATTGCTGAGAATCTTGACCCCAAGCCACTCACCCCTTTGCAAATCTGAAATAGCCTCTCTGTTAGAACAGCCACAGGTATGGGTGAACAGCAGTTCAATTTTCTAGATGTTCTGAGCACATCTGCTGCATTCTGGTGCTGTTTCCCCCTCCCCTTCTAGACAGAGAAGGTGTCCTCTCCACCACTGCCAGATAATTGCTCATTTAGCCCTGTTGAGGCATTCCCTCCATCCTTTAGCCCTGTTGAGGAAGTTCCCTCTATCCTAGCATTGTCCCCTGATAATTCTCATCCCAACAACTCCATACTTGACCTTCATGCATTGAATGGAAAGGTCTGATGGGGAAATCTTTGTGTATTCCACTGAATGCCCTTGCAGTCCTCCACGGAAATGAAAGCCATGGTCCTGAAGCATTCCTGAGCCATGCTAGGGATCATTAGCAAAGAGACAGCAAATAAAACTGCCAATACCACAATGCTGTTATACAAATCTATGGTGTGACCTCACTTGGAATGCCGTGTATTCTTCTGGTTGTCTCAGCTCAGGAAGAGAACTGTAGAGCTTGAAAAGGGAAGCCAAAATGATTGGGATGGGTATGTTGAGCAACTTCCATATGATGAAGGGTTACAACATTTGGGGCTTTTTAGTTAGGTGAGTAAGAGGGAACTTGACAGAGATGTGTAAAATTATTCATGATGTGAAGAAAGTGGATGAAAAATAGTTTTTTCTCTCTCAAACAACACTGGAACCATGGGAATGTAATGTCTCAGCTACAACCTCGAGGCCTTGCCATTAACCAAGGCCTGGAACAGGCTCAGTCTGAGAGGAATGAGCCAGAGATGAGGGCGAGGAGGGATATTCCATGCTGAGGGTGAGTTTGGCCTCTGATGTTTAAGGCCAAACTAGTCCCAAACCTGAGGGAAAGATGGTGCCTCAATGCCAGGCAGAAACCCACCTCTTCTGGAGAAGTGCCCAACCACAAGAGAGGACTCCCTGTGAATAAAATCTTCCTATTGAGGCGTTCTCTGGATGACGATAGCTGAAAGGAATCTGCTGAGGTCAGGATGTGGCTCCATTGGCTTTGGATTAGTGCTTGTGGGGATGCAGGTGGCACTGTGGTCTAAACCACTGAGGCTTTTGGGCTTGCCGATCAGAAGGTCGGCAGTTCGAATCCCTGTGACTGGGTGAGCTCCCGTTGCTCTGTCCCAGTTTCTGCCAATCTAGCAGTTCAAAAGCATGCCAGTGCAAGTAGATAAACTGATGCCACTGCATCAGGAAGGTAAACTGCATTTCTGTGCGCTCTGGCACTCATCACGGTGTCCCTTTGCACCAGAAGTGGGTTAGTCATGCTGGACACATGACCCAGAAAGCTGTCTGTGAACAAACACTGGCTCCCTTGGCCTAAAAAGCGAGATGAGTGCCGCAACCCATAGTTGTCTTTGATTGGACTTAATCGTCCAGTGGTCCTTTACCTTTTACCTTAGATTAGTGCTAGACTGGAAGAGCAGCTGGGACAATGTTTTCCTGCTAGCACTGTACTTTATCTGCTATCTGATCTCTTGCCTATTTAGAACCTGTCCACAGACTGCCCTGGATCTGTATCTTGCCTGTGCTTTGCCCATGGGTGAACTGGAACATGGCCTTGAACTGCTCTGAGCTGCCCTCTTTCCTAGCCCTTCTTTTGGACCCTGACCTTGGACCAGCCCTGGATAAAACTTTTGATGTTGTTGCTGGCCTATCAGTGTAGCTGTTAAGAAGTTCCTTTACTTAGGAGCCTAGTGAGAACAGGACAGAGGCAACCAATGAAACTGAATGTTGGAAGATTAATGACAGAGAAAAGCAAACATTTCATAGCTAAACTAATTGGATGGCATTAAAAAGAGCATTAGACAAATTCACAGAGGATAGGGCTATCAGTGACTACTAGCCACAATGGCTATGTTCACAGTGAAATCAGAGTGCTGGACTAGATAAGCCTTTGGCCGAATCCAGTACGGTTTTTCTTACATGGAACAGGGCTACTCAACATGACACCCTCCAAATGTTGTTGGAGTCCAATTCTCATCAGCCCCACCCCCAGCTAGTATGGTGAATGGTCAGGGATGATGGGAGTTGGTGTCTAACAACATCTGAAGGACACCACAATGGCCAACGCTGATGTGAAGGATTCCAAGAGTGTTCAGCTCAATGCTGATTCACTCTCCAGACTTTCCCACTCAATGAATGGAGACCAGAGGCTGCAACCAGTGGCAGCAATGAAGACATTCAAAAGATCTCAGGTTCTACTCTTGGCAGCTCCAGGTAGGTATGGCAAAGATTCCCTGTCCTGAAACCGTACACAGCAGCTGCCAGTCAGCGTAGCTATTTCTTACACAACACTTATTTCTTACATAACATATATCTGCTGCTTGATTGTAATACAGCGGAACTTCTGTTTTTGAGCATCTCGGAAGCTGAACGATTTGGAACCCGAATGCCGAAAACCCAGAAGTGAATGCTTCCATTTTCAAATGCACTTCGGAAGTCGAACAGCTTCCAAGGTGCGTTTCTCCATTTTCTCAATGGAATTTGCCAACTGCCCATTGCGCCTTGGTTGTCAAACGTTTTGGAAGTCGAACAGTCTTCTGGATTATGTTCGACAACCGAGGTACCACTGTAGTTTACAAAAAACAAACAAACAAAACATTACAATTACCAGTAAAAGAAAGTTAAAAATAGGTATTTTAACAATTCAAAAATAATTAAAATCAACCTTGAACAAAAAGATTAAAACACATGTCAGGGTTCTATATGTCTGGGTAGGCTGTTTTAAGCAGGTGCCAAAAGAGAATAGCAAAGGCACCTGCCTGAGGTCAATAGGCAGGGAGTTCCAAAGTGTAGGTACTGCTACACTAGAAGAACAAATTCTTACTAGTGTGGAACAAGTGTTATGTGGCACCTGTAATTGTGCCAGTTCTTCAGACTGAAGTAGTCAAATGGGCATTTAACATCCATAAAGCATAAGGGGGAATAGCCTCTGGTGCATCTGAGTGCAAAAGAAAGGAACTGCACATTTCTTAAAAGAAAACTGGATTTCAAAAACATTTGACTGCTGTTTCTGCCAGCTTTGGACAGCCTCTCTTTCTTTCTTTAAATAGGGCTGCATGAGCAATCATCTGCTCAAGCAGTTACTGTGCTCTAATTTTTCTAGCTCACTGATTGCTGTTTACCTAGCACAGTTGATTGATCACCTCCCTTTCAACTTATTAATTAATGACAATTACATATATTTGCATATTACAAAAACATCAGCATAGCTGACGTTGAGATATTGGGGGGGGGGGGAGTTTGATACCATTTTCCATTTTTGATAAACAAAAGCTGCCAGTCAGTTTTAGAAAAAGGCTTTCTTTAAGTGTCTCCTTTTTATTCCCCACTGAAGTAGCACACTAGATACAAAAGGACCTCAAGAAAATACAAGAATAAATGAAATGGATATTACACTCCACCCACTACAACACAAGAAAGCAATAGAGAGGTAATGACATACCCATGGCTAAAGGTGATATTCAACTATTTTTAATCAAACAAG